CAAATTTCAGGGGTTCTAATACAATAATAAAATGTTTAAGGGGGTTATTGACAACATTCCAAAATTAAGGGGTTTTGTCGAATTAACTTACTTGAGTAGGGTTATCCGTAACAACCCCCAAAGGTCAAGGGGGTTTTTTCTGAAATCAACACGCTGCATTCGGAAATTGGGTTGGACTCTTTATCAGGTCCAACCCATAAACTAATCCCTAAATCCCAATCAATTTCTCTCTCCAAAGAGAACAAAAACGACCACTGATCGACAGCGAATCCATCTCTGCTGCAGGCAAACTTTTAATTATTTATTTAATTTTCAAAAATAGTTTTTTTTAATGCTTTCCATTTCTATTATGGTTTATTTACTGAATAATTTTGAATTGCAGGTGCAATTTTTGTTGAATGGCAAACAGCAAATATGAGTACGTGAAAGATTTTGAGAGTGATGCCAAGATTCTACCTCACACTTGGATTGTCGTGAGAATTGATGGATGCCATTTTCATCGGTCAGCTATTTTATTCTGATTTTTTTATTGCACATTGATTTATGCCCCTTTTCTGTATTAGTTCTATGATATATTGTACCATATATCTACTAGTCTATAAAAGTATAACCATCAACTCGCAACTTAAAAGTTTTGGTGCCATGGAAGAAACTTTTGGATGGTATCTGGGCAACCCCATGTTGAAATCCTATGGGATACATAATTAAAGCAGATTTAGGAGAAACAATTGCGTAAAATAGTGCAGATTTTGATCCATGAAAAGGGCAGGCAACCTGCGGAAACATGTTATAGTATAGCATTGTAAGCCTCAATCCTCACATACCTTCAAAATTTCACTAAAAAAAGAATGGACATCCAGAATATAAGTGCTTCCTATTTTAGTAAATTACTTTAGATCATAAAACTTGAAGAAGTGCAACTTGTTGCAAATTGCATTTACATCTGTAAGAGTATACAATGTGTACTGATGATGATGAACTTATGGCTGTGAATGATTTTCTAAAACCCATAGAACAGTCTTGGAGTTAGAATTTGTGTTATCTTTAGGCTTCTGGATTATGTTTATCTCTTAGTTATTAGCTTTGATTACAAAATAGAGTTTTAAAGATGAAGGGTGATAAATGGATGACGTGAAATTAGATTAAACTAAACCAATAAGTCACAGTCTTCATTTGAACTGAAAATTGCAAATAGCATGCTAAAATTTGTACCCATTTATGTTAAAATTTGTACCCATCCTTGATGTTTCTCAACCCTTCTAAACATTTATAATTTGGCATACATTCAGCCTTATGGAAAGAGTTAACTTGCTTTAAATGTTTATTAATGCAATTCTTCCACTAATATCTTTTCCCTTCACTAACGATTGCCTTTATCTTTTCAGCTTTTCTGCAGATCACATGTTTGAGAAGCCTAATGATGAGAATGCTTTAAAGTTAATGAATTCATGTGCAGTTGCAATGCTACAACACTTTCCCGATATAGTATTTGCTTATGGAGTTAGTGATGAGTATAGGTATGATCTTCCTTCCTAAGCTTTTTAAATATTACATGATCCAGTGTGCTCCATGATACAATACATTGGCATATGCAACATTGACCACATATGCAATCGCTCGCACAATCTGAAAAATTTCGGACAAGAAAGGAAACAATAATAGCAAGGAAAATTACAAAAATGTAAACACTTAATCATGATGCCTGCTTTGTCATGTTGCCTCTCTCCTTTCAAGGTTATGCCAAAAATCCCCATCTCCTGCTGGAGATTTCGCCACTTAATTTTGGTCGGGAAGATGACTGAAGCCTAGGCTAAGTAAGGGGAATATGGCAAGTAGAACAGGGAAAAAGAATATAGGAGCATCTACCATTGTTCTTTAAGGTAAACAGGTTAGGCATTGGGTCAAACTCAGACTCAACAGTTCCCACATTTACACGTGCCTACAATGCATATACAAGCACTTAATGAATGTACACCATTTTTTTGTGACTGATGCTGCTTTTTTACATGCATTTTGCAAACGACATGCACAAATGTGACTTCCTATTGCATATCAAGTTTATTGCAAAATTCTAGAAACAGATACAGAGATTTGTAACTTCCTACATTCATACTCATGATTGTATGCATCTTAATATATTTATCTAGTAATTTTTATTTTCATGGCTCAAAAATCTTTGTCGTTCAACTATACATTGTCACGACCCCAAATCCCGAACCTAAAAGGAATATTGGAGCCAGACTAAACCTGTGAAAAATCCTCCAAAAATATGCATTCATTAAAAGACCGTCAAAATAATCTCTTCATTGAACTAAATCCAACAATAAATATTCTCTATAATCCCAAAAGTCAACACTAATCCAATTAACTTGATAAAAACAAATATTCCTCAACTTGAAATAAATCTCAACCTAAAGGAAAGAATCTTATTGTTACAAAACTCTCAATTCAAAGACTTTATTTAACCTTCACCTAGAAGACAATAACAATCTCGAATTATATTCCTTGCTCCGTTCTAAGAATTTTAAAAACCATCAACTCCACCTAATCCCGAGTCTCTGAAAAGAATGAAAACAACATAATGAGTTCATAACTCAATAAGTGGATAGATTCATACATTAAACACTGATTTTTGCAAAACTAAAATAAATGGACTTGATAAGAAAAATACAAAAATAGTAAAAACTATAATGCAATATTTTTAAAATATATACATGCAATGGAAATAAGCAGATCACATCTCAATGTGGTCAACACTTCGATATTCTGGTTGACTTGGCAAACCCCACTATTACATAGTCCGTGGTCAGGACGTGAGATCCAAACTTGAACTCTTAGCGCTAAAATAAAGACCTCATAGAGGCACATTGAACCATGTTTAGATGATTTACTTTTATCCCAAGTTTCCAACATATACCGGTGACCTGAGATGCATATGCTTTAAGAAAATTAAATAAAATTCGTAAAACTAAATATGTAATACAAAAATGCTAAAGGTCAACTAATAGTGAAATCAATCAACCACATATGCATCTCAACCTACTACTATATGAAAAGACATAACAATTGACAAAGAAAATAAGCATAGGCTTATACCAAATTTCCATGTGCCTCACCTTCGAATCAACATTTAACATGTGAGTAAATCACACAAAAGGATATAATCCATCAGAAATAATTTCGCATATAATTAATATAATTTTATATGAAAAATACGCAGTGCACAATGCATCAATTCACCACTTACTCAAACTCGAAAGACTATCGGAATACCAGTCACGATGTCTTCTCGAAATCACTTGGGATTCCTACAATATATACAAATAACCATCAAAATTACTGTATAACTTAAGACCCGAATACCTATTAAAATAATCTTAGGATATTATCATACACCATTTAATTAACTATACTAAAATCAACCTACATACTATACTGTACCCTATAACTACGGTTAAGCATTGTATACATAACAAAATTTTTAATCATAGAATCAATATAATCATATGCTAAGAGTCAAAATATCATGCATGAAGACGAAAGTAAATAAATAAATAAAGGTAAGAGCAGCAATAAGCTCTTGTGTCTGCCATGGCCATGGAATCAAATATCACGCATGGATAAAAATAAATAAATAAATAAATATATGAGCAACAATAAGCTTTGTCCACCATGGCCATGGCTTCATACAAGGTCAAGCCAATAATGACGGGAAAAGGAGAAGAGGCTGACGGGAAAAGAAGAAGGAACTAGAGTAGGGTTTTGTTTATTCCTAAATATCCTTTTACTAATAGACCCTCTAACAATTTATGCACAAAAGTCCCTTTACTTTTCCTTATATATATATATAGCCAAGAAACTTAGAATTATTACATACATGCTGGGAACTTGTCAGAATATACCCAAACACTCCCATATCATGCCTGATAATATGAGATAATTGTTCCTTGTCTTAGTTTAATCTTTCAAATTTAGTGATCCTGTGTCGGGTGGTGCAGGAGAATGGAAGGCAGTAATATTATTAATGTATACAATTAAGTATGATTTGCAGTGTGAAACATCAATCTTATGTATAGGTATTTAGTTAAACCTTAATTTGAGACTAATTACCTCTGGAATTGAGATATCTAATAGCTTAGCACCAGTCTTGTATGCATGTATTTCGTAAGCATTAATGCCATTTCTTTCTTTTGCAGCTTTGTCTGGAGGGAGACCACTCGATTTTATCAAAGACGGGAATGGTACTCTCTCTAGCGGTTTTTTCCCCCAGAGTAAAAAGAGTACTCTGTTATGAATGCAATTTTTGGATATACATTTCATTGACCTAAAAAAGTTCATAAATTTTAATATATTGTTCATAACGTGCTGGCTTTTATAATGCTTTGCTCCTTTTTCCCCCTGCTGCAGCAAACTCCTTTCACTGAGTGTATCATATTTCACCTCTGTGTATGTAATGAGGTGGAAAGAATTCTTTCCCAATAAAGAACTGAAGGAACCACCATATTTTGATGGGCGAGTTGTTTGCTATCCAAGAGTCAAGATTGTAAGAGATTACCTAGCGTGGAGGCAAGTAGACTGTGAGTTATATACAAAGAAACTAAACATTTTTAATTAAATACCTTAGGAACCTGAATTTTGTGCAGCATAATAAGTAAGCCTCCATCCATGCCTTTGGTCCTGAGGGTATATGGTGCAATGCATATCTACTTGGTTATAGTCTATACATGACTTACTGTTACTAAATTGTTAGTATATTGTTTTGAGAAAAGAATGTTATCATATTATATTGCGAAATGGGCTATTCCAGTGTTTCATCTTCCCATGTTGCAGGTCACATTAACAACCAATACAATACTTGTTTTTGGATGTTGGTTAAGTCAGGAAAAACAGAAAAGGAAGCACATGAGCTTTTGAAGGTGTTACCTACAATCTACTTAACATATTCACCATTTTTTATATAGTTAATTAATACTTTCCCTTTTTTTCTTATTCAAATTCTTGTTCATCCTTTACTATTTGTCTTGCATATGTGACATAAGGATTTGAAAAACATCATTACATGAGTACTAGTTTCTGTTTTTGCAGTAAAACTGTCTGTTAAAGGGCACCATGTACTTTCTATTTAATAATCTATACTACTATAAAAAGGGGATTGGAGTGTTAAAACTTTTAATTTTCTTTTTCACCCTCTTACATGTTGGTAAATTCTAACTATGCCATTATCTCTAATTAATCTTTCATTAAATAAATATAACCTCTTATTAATTATGCACTTCCTCACCTTTCTAAATAACTATAATTATCAATAATATTATAACTATTAATTGTTTGAATAAAATAATTTATAAAATAAGCATTCACAATTATTAATGGTAACCAATTAAATCATTATAATTATTATTTATGAATTATAATAAAATAATGAAAACAAAGTATAAATAGAATAATATATTATTAAACACTATTAAGAATTGTACTATAATTCAATAAGCAATAAAATAAATAGAATAAATTTTGAATCACATAAATAATGTAATTATTTTAATAATTTCACATAAATTATGACTTACACAATTTATTTATTATTAAATTATTAAATAAATTAAATAAATAATTTAATATTACTTTTAGAGTATTTTCTCAAAGATTCTTACCTGATACTGAATAATCTATACTTCGTAATGATTGAAAACTAACCTTTTTATAAAAAAATAGTTAATATTAATAATAGTACTATTAATTGTTAATGATAGTATAATAAAAATTTATAAAATATTTTAGTACTAAATTTCTTAAGAGCATAATTATAAAAATTAAATTAGATAAATATTTTTATAGTATATAGACAGTATAATTATTTTAATAGTATTACTTGAACTAAAAACTATAATATTAAATTAGGTAAATTACAATAAACCCCCATGAACTTTTAGCATTTTGTAGTAAATAGACCCTATAAACTTTCGAAAGCACACTATACCCCTGATAACTTTTGTAGAAAGGCCTCAATATCTTTTAGATAAATTACACCAAACCCCCAATAATTTCCAAAATACCTTTTTATGCCATTTTCTAGTTCTAATTTTAAGGGTTATTTGCAAAATTTAGAAAGTTATTGAGGGTCTTCTTTGAAATAGAAAAGTCATTAAGGATTTAGTATAATTTTAAAAGTTTTTATGGGCTGAAAGTTCATAAGGGTTTAGTGTAATTTACCCTATTCAATAATTATAATGAGAGTAACTATTACATTATGTTGCAGGTATCAAACATAACTATCTAAGGAGCATCAGGAAAAAGCTAGCAAGATTAATGTAACTTAGTTTAAAGTTAAGATAATAACTTTCATGTTTGAGGGGCATATTTAAGAGAACTTATAGAATCGATAGTTTTATTTAAGAACAATTTTAGATTTGGGGACTTATTAAAAAAAAGGTTAACACTTATAAGAAAAATATTCAATTACAATAACAACATGATAATTAATTAATTAATACATTTTTTTAAGCAATCTTATAATACGATTTTATTATTAACACATAGCTTTACTATTTAATAAACATTCAAAACTTAAAACATGTACATTCACGTGCAAAGCACGTGCATTATACTAGTATGGGTAAATTACAATAAACCCCCAAGAACTTTTAGCGTTTTGGAGTAAACACTCATTAACGTCCAAAATCACATTAAACTCCCAGTAAATTTTGTAGAAAGCCTTCAATATCTTTTGGGTGAATTACATTAAACCCCAGATACCTTTCAAGTGCCTTTTTTCTGTTGTTTTTTTGTTCTAATTTATGGGGATTATCTGCAAAATGTAGAAACTTATTGGGGGGCCTGCAATTCCAAAAAGTTATTGGGGTTTAGTGTGATTTTGAACGTTATTGAGATATAGTGCAAAAAGCTGAAAGTTCTTGGGGGTTTAGTGTAATTTGCTCTAATAATATTGTCGATGCTTTAAGGTACAATTTTTTTTTTCAGTAGGAAAATATTACCATTGGAGTGAATGCAATTTTTGTCTATTACAACTTAAGACTTCATCCTACTACCTAATAGTGTTGTTCTTGATTCCCTCAAATAATCTTACCTACTAACTATAGGGATGACTTGACAAATTTGAATGTGAGAAAAATATTATATAGCGCCTGATACCAAAATCGAAATAAAGGCTTGTTTTTTCTCCTTTCTTCTGCATATGAAGCTAAGTGGAATTTTTGTGTTACATTTGGTTGATAAATGACTCAACTATATAGAATTTCTATGAGATTTAGGAATATGACTTAGCTAATCTCTTCGTTGCCGTTTGTCTGCTACACCTCTGTAATCTATTTTGCTTTGAACTCCCTCATCCCCTATAAAATTGATGTATGCTCCCTGACACTGGATTACATGCAACAAAATGGCCTGTGTGGATCTTGTGCTTTGTTATCATGGCTTAAAAATGCTATTAGTGGCCAGATGTTTTCTAGATCTTTATGGTGAATTGGGTTGAGGATTGTCATTGAGGCCTACATATGTAATTGAAGCCGCTTTCTAGATTCCTTCATCTGCCTGTTGTGATTTTCATTGGATCATAGTTTCTTATCTTTTAGGTATCTGCACCTTTTTTTATTTTGCGATAATTTTTTATCCCACTGAAGAAAAGGAACTGTCTCAAATTTAACAATCTAATCTAATCGCAGTTTAGACCGTCACCTAGCCCATGCCATTAACCCTCCAGTTGCCAGTTTTATGTCCATGCTTCTATTTGTTGAACCAGAATATTCGTCTGTTGTGTTAATAGACATCTTACAAGTATCCGAGCTTGTTTTTCATCATACTTTACCTACTCTGTGGAAACTAATATCCACGAGTGTTCATTAAGAAGCATCCAAGTAAAGACTATGATTTCATCTTCAGATTACGTAGCACACTCATACAAAATGTATTTGAAGTTCGTTTATGATATTTGGTAGTTTTGCACATATATCGTACTTATTTAAGTTCTAGTCTGAAGTTGTATGAGATACTGTACCTTTCTAGTTCAACCTCATAGGCTTAGTGTATAGTAAATTTACAGATTTTTTTGTATTATTTAAATTATTTGGTTAATTCCCTGCCCTAAATGTTGTAACAATAAATACAATGTATTGAAGTTCATTGGGCTTTGTAATATCTTGTGCAGGGTACTCTGTCGAAAGATAAAAATGAGCTACTTTTTCAGCAGTTTGATATTAATTATGATAAACTACCTGCAATGTTTCGAAAAGGATCATGTATATTCCGAGATGAGGTAAACCTTCTGTCTTGAACATGAGATTAAAACATATTAAGCAAAGCAATAACTCCATGATTATTTCTTGCACCTTAAAAATTTCTTGCATATTATGCATGGACTTGGTACTTATATCAGGTTAAAATTTTAGGTGGAGGAGACAGTGAAACTGGACGAGGGCGGCAATCCCGTAAAAAGAACTCGAATGAAGGTTACTGTGGATCATATTGATATAATAGGTCCCAAGTTTTGGAGCGAGCGACCTTATATTTTAAAAGAAGATCTAAAATGAGCTGGAAGAATTAAGACCCCCATTGGGTCATTCTCGATTTTATAAAATTCATTGACATTTACGTCGAAACTGTAACAGTTGATCTACTATTTTTAGATAAATTATTTTCCTCTCTCATTTCTTGAAAGATTGTAGACTGTAAATTGTAGATGTACTATTAAGATAATTTAGTGTTTTCCCTTTTTTTTTTGGGCAAATAAAGATTATAACTTGATTTTGAATCTGGAATTTACCTTGTGACCACTTGCTCTTTCGGTGAGCAAGGCTCCAGTGGATAAGTATTGCAGTTGCCTGTTAGATGCTTCTGAGGAATAAGTTACTGAGGTGAGCTTACTCTTTTCCTAACATTGATCAAGTTCATGTACGTCAGGAATTACTTTAATCTGCTTTATGTTTTAGACCTTCATCAATATTTGATGTTTGTTACCGTTCAATTGATTCTGTTTATGCGGCATGACACGGGTAGGATCTGTCAATTAAATCTTATGCATGATCCGCTTCATTCCCGTGTAATATCCACCCTCTCGTAGACAAGTTAGCTTATATTTAAATTTTCGATTATTTTTGGTATATATCTTCAGAGTTGTATTGTTCCAATATCCAATTCATCTGAAACATGCCGTTGCTTGTACAAGCCTCCGCTCCCTACACATCCAAAAAGTACCTACCATCCCCATGTTTAAAACACTTGTATCCTCTAGATATGCAATTCCTATACAACTCCTATCTCATTGTTAACGCGCTAGACTTTCACAATGCCCCTCCTCCTCTCCTTCACTCCCACTTCTCCCCTCGCTTGCCCCCACTCCCTTACGATCACCAGCCTCCTCTCACCAAAACCCAGAAAATCTCTGCGCGTTTCGAACCCGATCTTGGACAGGTCATTGTCATTGTTTTCCTACCTTCATGTGTTGCCTCCGGACTTTGCGCAGAGATGGAGGAATCTTGTTGAGACTTCGGAGGAGGCAGAGGCGAGGCTGTGCCAGATTCCGGTTCATCTGGTTCAGGCTGTGACCGCGTCGGAGGACTGCAGGTTCTTCTACCATCTTGGGGTGGATCCGCATGGGATCGGACGGGCTGTAGTGAATTATCCTAACGGTGGTGGAGGGAGCACCATCACCCAACAGGCGAGTTGAACTAGTCGCACTTGTGATGCATGTAGTAGTTCCAGTTAAAATTCAATGATTTGCACTTAGTAGTCATTGCTGTATATACGTATTCGTCTAGGATATTAGATCTTTTTGGAGCCTTTCTTGAGAACTGATTGTTAACAGGAGTTATAATTTGAACTCTAATCGCAACTCAAAAAAATTGCAACTATGACTTGTGTGTAAATTCTCGAAAACTGGAAGCCTTTTGCACATCTGCGTCTGCTGCAATTGCAGCGAAGGAAATAACCCCAGTGTCAACTGTAAACTCTAGCAAATCGCCACTCCAACTGAAATCTTCAACTGTCGGGTTTATGAGCTATTAATTAATGTCTTAGTAACCAAGCTGATATTTAGTTCTTAGCAAAATACATTCTGAAATCCTCATCTACTTAATCTTTCAATATAAACTTATATTCGAATGTTAAATGATAAATGCCCTTCCTTCTTGCAGCTGATGAAGAGAATCTTTTTGTCGAGTGAAAGAACAATGTCAAGGAAATTCATCGAGGGATTGTTGTCCTTGATAGTGGAGAAGAGAATGTCCAAGAGGCAAATACTGTATTCATACTTAAGCAAGGTATGTATTCTGATATTTCCTTTTATGTTTGATTCATCTATCAACAATTTAATTCTATTCTTATGCGCTACTCCAAATATATTAAAAAATAAAAAATAAAAGCTGACAGTTGTTGGTGTGATATATATTTCCATTATATTGAAGAACTGATGCTGCAGATGTACTGGGGACATGGCATCTTTGGAATTGAAGCGGCATCTGAGTTTTACTTTGGAAAGCATCCTAATTTTCTTGATGTTGGGGAGTCTGCATTACTGGCTGGAATATTGCCTGGTCCTGAATTTCTCAATCCATATACCAACCCTAAGAGGTAAATACATATTTACATGGACAATCAAAATTAGTTTAATTGAGACAAAACTTTTTGACAATGTTCTATAAATATCGATCTCTTTGTTCAGATGAATTAAGAAAGAAGAAAAAGTTATACTTACTAATTTTATAAGTCAAAAAAATCTTAAAAAAGAATTAAAAAAATAAATAAATATATTTGGAGAAAGCTTAGTTGGCTTTAAATTGGAATAAAATGAGGCCAAAAGCTAGATTAAAACCATCTGTACAAAATGGTATTTATGATATCCTGTGTCAAAAAGGTAAAAGATTATAAAAGTTTACAAAGTAAGAATTAATGACATAATTTAAAAAGATAAATCTTAGAATGAAAATGGCACAGACATTAATTTTTCTTTTCCCTAAAATGTTGTTTCATTCCAACTTTTCAAGCAAGCTAACAACTCAATTTCTTGAAAGAGGAAAACGCTCCCAAGTCAGGGTATTGAGAAGGATGGTAGCATCTGGGTTTCTGGATTTGGATGAAGCACTAGATATTGCAAACCAACCTCTTTATTTGCGTACTGAAGTGAAGGTAAGTTCCATGTAATTTGGTTTCCGGTATAGATTCAGAAAACTGGGGCTAATTAGCACTTAAGTACCTTGTAGTTTCCCCTAGCTTGCACTTATATACTCTAATTTGTTCGCGACAGTGACTCTATATCCTTTAATTTACTTTCTAATAAAAAATTGGCATTTTAGTATCACCTATTAAGGAAATATGAGAATATTCTCACGTGATACTCACATGCAAATTTTAAAATTATTTGACCCTTAAAGTTTGTTGAATTTACTGTTAAACTTGCATGAATTCTATTTCATTCTATTTAAAAAATAGAATCAAAATAGATTTAACAGTAATTCAACAAGTATTAAGGATAAATACTAAAGTTAGCATGTGAATATTACATAGAAATGTTCAGAGGAATTAATATTCACATGTCTGCCTGGGCCTGTTTGGATTTGTAGGGGGTGAAGGGAAGTTAAGGGAAACTGAGGGCTTGTTTGGATTTGTAGGGGTGAAGGGAAGTTAAGGGAAACTGAGTGAAGGGAAGGGAAGGGAATTCCCTTCCCCTTGGTTACACCCCAATTTGGGGGGTAATAATTTTTATACTATTAGGGGGTGAACCAAGGGGAACTAGGGTGAATTAACTTCACCTCCTAAGTGTTCCCAAACAAGGTGAATGGAGGTGAATGGTTCCCCTAACTTCCCTTTACCCTCATTCCTCTCAATCCAAACAAGCAAGCTCCAAAATCTGAAAACACCAACATCTATAAGTGCAAGCAATTGAGAGTTTAAAAAAATGCTAGTGTTTTCTAATTGATATGAGCAATTGCTTTCTCATGTAAAATTGACATCAAATGTGGACCACGTCTCAGACGAATCGCACAGGCGAGGCACAAATGGCAGGGAGGACATGAAGACGACTTCTAAATGTGAGGACAAATAATTGAGTTGTTCAAGTCAGAATATCATTTTTCTTATTGGGGTCTATTTGAATAATTGTGGATTTTGAGTTCGCATCGTTGAGCTTTTGTATGTGGTTCTGTTTTCTAATTAATTTTGAATGATTTCAAAGGGCTAAATTTCACAAAAAAAAACCCATGAAACTTGGGGTTTGCGTAAAAGTATCACACATTTTTATTTTCGAGAGACATACAACAAGAATATTGATAAATTCTTTACTAGTAGATAAGTCTAATCTAGGTTTTTAAAATATTAGATGCCACACTGCTACAAGATGGTTGTTTATTTCGATGCAAGCTAATCTTCTCGTACGATAATAATAATAACAATAAGCATGCAACCAGGAATTAAGAGTGTCGACGTGCATGAGTATATTTCGAAACCTTCATTGCGAATGTCATAGATATGGATCAAAGAATAGATCACACGGTAATACAACGTCATAACGGACTATTGCAAAAATACGCTATTAGAAGTTATGCCATCAATATATATTGACAAATTTTTTTTATATAGATAAGAAAGTAGGGAATTGCTATTGGCTGCTGCGGTTAGTAAGACGCGGTTTAATCTTGACAAATTTATTGACAATGGGCAATGTATGATGTAAATTTTAACCATATGAAGATACTTTCCAAATACATGAGAGTAATAAAGAGGAGTTTGGATTCAAGCGGTGGAGAGACCACTACTTTTAATCTTAACCATTAATTATTATTGGCGGTTATAACACAGTCTAAATATAACATTCGCCGTACTCTCGTGTATTGCAATCATTAATGATGGTCAATTCATTAGCCAATAAGAAGGGGACACCTCACTTGTCCCTCCTATTGGTCTCATATTCTGGGTCCCCGTAGCAAAGCTCTTATTAATTGAAAAATTCTCCAAGGACCCAAAATATGGGACCAATAGAGGGGCCCAAAATATGGGACCAATAGAGGGGACAAGTGAGGTGTCCCCCTTCTATTGGATAATGAGTTGGCCATCATTAATGATGGCCAACTCATTATCCAATAAGAAGGGGACACCTCACTTGTCCTTTCTATTGGTCCCATATTCTGGGTCCCCGTAGCAAAGCTCTTCTTAATTTGCACTCAAAGAAAAAAACCACAACCAATAACTAGATAATTAACGGTTGTGATTAGGTAGTGATCCCTCCGCTCACTACTTTTTTTTTTTTTGATAAGGAAGAGCATCGGAATCCAATAAAGAGAGGCTTCAGAACGCACACGGACATGCCTCATTCTAGATGCAGAGTTTTGTACCCAACCAGACTCCCGCCCCCTCACGCTTACTGCGTTGCATTAATTGTACAGACAACCAACCGCGCCACTTCCTCTGAGGTTGTTACCTCCAACAAGTGAACCCAATCCCCCCACGTTACTTCTTTTGCTCCCATAATACTCTCTATTTTATATCCTCTCGAAGCGCTGAGCAAACCGTCCATCACAAATTCGAACCAAAAACACGAAGAAAAAGAGAGGAAAGAATGGAGGTAGAGAGAGTGCAAGCAATCGCCTCCGTGGCGGCAAACCTGGACACAATCCCGACTGAATTCATCCGGTCGGAGCACGAACGGCCGGACATTACGACATACCACGGCCCGGTGCCCGACATCCCGGTCGTCGACCTCTCCGTCGCCGACCGCGACAGTGTCGTCAAGGCGATAGCCGACGCGTCGATGGAGTGGGGGATATTTCAGTTGGTGAACCACGGGATCCCGACGGAGGTGATAGAGGAGCTGCAGAGGGTGGGGACGGAGTTCTTCGGGCTGCCGCAGGAGGAGAAGGAGGTCTACGCGACGGTGCCGGGGTCGGGGAGCTTCCAAGGGTACGGGACTAAGCTGCAGAGGGATTTGGAGGGGAAGAAGGCTTGGGTTGATTATTTGTTTCACAACGTGTGGCCGGAGAGCAGGGTGGATTACAAGTATTGGCCCACGAACCCTCCCGCGTATAGGTGTGTCTTTTGAGTTTGTTTTTTTGTTGTTTATGAGCTCAGTTACAGATATCAATGAATTTTTTTTTTCGAATAAAAATTTTACAAGATATCTGTATTACCTAGCTAGCAAGAATTATGACAGACTTTTAAATTGTTCAGAAAAATCGTCACATATATATATATATACACTATTGATTGAAGATATATCCAGAAATTAAATATGAGGAATGAATGTTAATTTTAATTGTTGTCTCACATTTATATATAGGGCGACACCGTGTATAGTCTGACAAAAAGCACAGACTCGCGGTGACCCATCGATTCTTATGTAATGAAGAAGGCAAACTACTGATCTCCAACTTTCTTAATGAACTTGTGGAGGTAAATTTCACAAAAAACCCAAGTAATCTGGCCCGTTAGGGGGGTAAACCCCAAAATGTTTGGAAATATCACTTAACCCATAAAATTTTCCATTTTTCTAAATTTATTTCAGAAAAGGGGTTATCTTAAGGAGCATTAGGAGATTAAGTGAAAAATTGGGGATCGTCTCAAAATGAGCCTAGCCTGCTTGTAATTATTTAGGATACTTGTTTATCATGCATATTAGTTTAGGGTGTTTTTGGAAGTATGGATGTTTTTAATGCAGAAATCGGAAAAATGTGTGATATTACAACCATAACAGCAATTAAAGACGTTTTCTATATATAAAAAAAATAATCTAAAAAATGATTTCCGTCTAATTGCGTAAAAGTAAAAATGGTTTTCATGTAAAAACCATATCAATGCTTCAACTTCCTTCCATTCTACATGAGTTCCACTTTAGTTTGTAACAAAACATTATTTAAAAAAAAAAAAGCTCCTCCGATATTTGCATCCATTCACTCTGGTTTATCCAATGATCCATATATATATGGTGTTGTGATCCATTCACATCTTTTGATCATTTTTCGCCCAACACGAATCACTGCAATTCACTAAACAGCCATCAATTGTGACCGATATAATAATAAACTTACACAATTCTTTTAACATAAGTCAAATGGAATATACCAATTAAGCACCTACTTGTTAGAGTGGTCGATAAGTGGGAGATATATATATTCCCTTTTCTCAATGCATTAATTCAATATGTAAACATAAACAGGAAGGCTAACGAAGAATACGCAAAGCACCTCCTTCGAGTAGTCGATGAAATGCTGAGCAGCTTATCGCTCGGTCTCGGATTAGAGCCTAACGCACTAAAAGATGCAGTCGGAGGCGACGATCTCGAGTACCTGCTGAAGATCAACTACTACCCGCCGTGCCCACGCCCCGATCTCGCCCTCGGCGTTACGCCGCACACCGACATGTCGGCCATCACAATCCTCGTTCCGAATGAGGTACCGGGGCTGCAGGTGTTCAAGGATGATCACTGGTTTGATGCCAACTATATCCCTAATGCGCTCATTGTTCATATCGGTGATCAAATTGAGGTGATCCCAATTCTGGCATATCACTATTAGATAGAACAAATTTTCAAAACAGCCCCATTTAATTTTTTTTATTTTTAAAATCGGCCTATTTTGTTTTATTTACCAAAACCGACCCGTTTTTTACCACGTCAGCCTAATCACCCTCCTAAACAGTCGGGGTTGCGAACCCCGACTATTTAGGAGGGTGTTAAACCCCAATTAGAAGCCTTAAACCCTAAAATTTTATGTCCTAAATAGTCGGGGTTGGCAACCCCGACTGTTTAGGAGGATGATTAGGCTGACGTGACAAAAAACGGATCGGTTTTGGTAAATAAAAAAAACGGAATATTTGAATAACAGATGGCCTGGTTACCTGTTTGGATTGGTGATTAGCTATACTGCGAATAATCGCCCTTTAATTTTATTTCATTATCTGGTAATTTTAGATCTTAAGCAATGGGAAGTACAAGAGTGTGCTGCACAGAACAACGGTCAACAAGGAGAAGACACGGATGTCATGGCCAGTGTTCTGCTCACCACCAGGTGAGCTCGTCATCGGCCCGTTGCCGGATCTCGTTAACGATGAGAACCCTGCAAAATTCAAAACTAAGAAGTACGAGGACTACAGCTACTGCAAGATCAACAAGCTTCCCCAATGAGAGATCTAGATATATAGTGTTTTTGTGTGCTAATCATTGTTTGATCGCTCCCCAGTTATTTGCATCTCTGTCCTTTATTTCGACTTGAAACTTTAATAAAGCCATCACAAGTGCGTTTTTAGTTGTAATGTATGAGATGTGATCCACTTCACTGCAAAGCTGTAGTCGACAGTTCTCTCTCTCAATCACAACCTTTCGCTGTTTAATTATGCGTTTTGCCTTGGAAGACAAGTGAAAATGACCGTGAATCATTGTTATACAACAGTGTTAACTTTTAAACGGATCATAAAAGTCTACGTTAGAGGTGGAGCTGATAAATGATAATAAAATAGTTTAAAAAGGTGAATATTGCTTTCGTAAAATACAGGTGAAGGGGTTATTTATAATTTACCCAATATTAATATTTCCTCCACCAAAGTATGATTGTTAGTGTCACTAAGTGTTCACATTCGTGAACCATATGATGGAGGTATTGAAATATCATTACTTTTTCTGCACTTAAACAGTTTGGATCTTGTAAAATGTAGAAAATCCCTGACAATACATTCTTTATTGAAGCAGGGGCCATATTTTCCCTTCTATATATGATTGGGCTCTTATTTGGACGTTCGGAGTTTATTCTTAATGTTATTATTTTATCATGCCAACTTTTTACTAGTTTTTTTTTCATGGACTTCACCTAGGCCTCGGGCTATATGTGGACCGTCCAAAGGGCCATCATGGTCTTTTAGATTGTTAGACAGTTAATGTGTTGCTGGTAAGGGCTGCTCAGTGCACGAGGCTTCCACTATTGTGCGTTCTAAGAAGAGTTAAATGTACAGAGTCTTATCTCTACTTGTAGAGAGATTGTTTCAGAGATTCGAACAAATGAGGCAGCAACCTTAGCTACTAAGGCTCATCCTCTGGTTAATGTGTCACTAATATTGTAGATAGAAATAAGTGGAAAGTATGGAAGATATAGTGTTAATCGCATTAGGAGTGAATCATAATTGTTTGATGATCTTACGGGGATTGAACAGTAAAAATTGGCACAAGTTTACAAATTGTAACTTTTAATTAATGACTAGTATTTATCATAGACAACGATATGCAAATGACAATATCTGATATGTTCCAAGACCAAACAAAGCAAGATCTTCTTTCACTACCTTCGTTTCATATTGGTGACACCCGAACGTGAAATCTACAATACTGAAAGACCCTTTGAGCTGTTGGTTGTTAATAAATGGTGGAGAGAGAGAGAGAGAGAGAGAGAGAGAGAGAGAGAGAGAGAGAGAGAGAGAGAGAGAGAGAGAGCTATCTCCTTTCCCTCCTTACCTCGTCTGTGATCTGCTCAAGATCTTTACTAGGTATAACCAATGTGTGATCATAGTTGGTACTATTTTGTGAGGGATTAAGATCATTGGCAAGTAGTTTAAAAAGGAGCATTTTTTGAAATAGACTCTTTTTGAATGTTTATTGACCTTTTGGCATAAAATTAGCAAAAACGATCACTTTTTGGCCACGTCATTATGGCGGGCCTAAAAGTGGTTGGTTTTACAATTTTTTTTTAAAACACGGGACTAGTAGTTCCATGTGATTAGTAGTTGTTATGGTGTTTTCAGTCGTCAAATTGTGGCCCTTTGCCAGCAACAGATAGGTGTCCCCCGACATGCACCATTCAAATCGAATTGACGATCAGAACTGTCAGGATCCTGACTTAGCCGACTCACCATCCACTTGGGTCGACTAGAAGGACGGTGTTTGTCGGTCATCTTATTGAAGACGACTCAATGCGAGTCCACTCAACCAGTTATTCGACGCATCGCGGGGTCGACTGGAAAGGCGTTACTTCTCGGCACCCTTCGTTACAAGCCAAAATATAACTTCAACGTCAAACCCCCTGCTGACAGCACGTTGACGTCACATTAAATGCTTGGCAGACGCCATCATTTCTTCATCTTTGACACTATTTATGACACATCGGACCACGTCGGCTTCGTGCGCCGCCCATTGCATCTCATTAATAACAAAATGATAGCGTCCATCCCATGGCCGATCCACGATCGACACCTGTAAAGTAGACGCTGACTCAGCCGCTAGCTCAGGCTCAGCCAAAAAGACTAGACTACCCCTCTTGCATGACTATAAAAAGGAAAGGTATTCCAAATACAAAGGTAAGCTATTTTATTAGCATTTTTCTCCAGTCCGCTGCATTTTCTCATATTCCCACTCAAGCACCTAGTTGACTTGATCGTCGGAGGAACAACGGGAGAACCAGTCCCGTCCTCTTACGAGTTGTTACACATATAGGGACGAACAACCCAACTCCAAATCAGATATTCAGAAAAGTGAGCGGCCCCCCATATTAACCCAGTCCCTATTACCTTCTTTTTTCCTATGTGATTTAAACCATCAGCAGTTTGGCGCTCACCATAGGGACTCTTTCTTTTTCGATCAAATATGTCTAGTTCTGAGCATAGGGCTGATCAGACCATCCCTGGAGGACTACACCAGAGCTACGTTACTTAAGCTCAACTTGAAGAAACAGCTCAGAAGATCTCTCAATCCCTCTAACAACAACTCGCTACCTTTACTAGCGAGCTCCTCAGCCAGTTTCCACAACCGCAGCAAGTTACTTTCACAGTCCTTCTGCTTTCTGGAGACCAACGATCGCGGACTCATCCCCCTTCTGAATCTCAACATATAGTCTTACCACAGACTCCTCACGCTACTGACAAACAGCTGATAAATCACATTGAGCACACGAACCCACCACCACATCGGTCGACTCACCCCATGGAACATCGCTGACACCTCCTCCCTACTTTTGAAGCCATCGACGAGAGTCCCGGTCCTAGTCGCCCTGGTGATCACACTAGAGGAGTAGTCTCTAAGACTCTCCCCCACCATCATACCTCTCCGGACATCTCTGCCACCTTGGGGGCATCCAGATATGATCGGGTGTACAGACCAATCACAGAAGCCAATGGGGGGAACACCTCCTTTTCGACGACTTCATGAACGCCCCGTGTGAGAAGTTCAAGATGCCTCACGTGGAGAAGTACAAGAGAGAAGGAGACCCCTCCGAGCACGTCCAGAACTATTATGATGTAATGAGCATGCTCTAATCTTCAGAAGCTGTTATTTACTAATGTTTCCCCATCACTCTGTCAGGGAGTGCCAAGCTCTGGTGGAACACCCTTGAGAGAAGCCCATCAGCAGCTTCCAGCAACTTACCCAGAAGTTCATCCACCACTTCTTGGCTGACACCAAATAAAAGTTGCGCCCTCGTGTGTTGATCCAGATGAGGTAGGAGCCTAGAGAGATTATTCAAGCCTACTTCAAGAGGTTCCAAGTGAAGAGGCTGGAGGTCAATGACCCAAGGAATACGGTTGCTATGTTCGTTCTTGTGGCCGGCTTGCAGAATA